CTCCAGGACCCTCATGAAGACCCTCATAAAAGCTGCACACAGGAAGCAGGAATATTACCAGGCCCCCACCCACCACCCATCAAGTAACATGATCAGTGGGATTCGTTACCCCGCCCCCACCCCTCAACCTCAGCCAGCACTGACACCTCCTGATCCCGCTAACCCCTGAGCACTGGTACATTCTTCTGGGGGGGGGGGGTTGGGGTGGATACATGCTGTGCAGAGTTTGTGAGTCATTGAGAACAGCCCCCCCCCCCCCCCCTCAGCCCACCCTCGCAGACTCCCCCTCCTCCCACACTGCCCACACACACACATCTCTTACTCACTCTCGACCGCCAGGAACACAAACACACAAAGGATGTGCCCACCCCCTCGCCTCCCTTACTCATTCATTCATAGGCAGCTACCCCTCCCTGCACCCTCACACACACACACACACAATCGGCTGTTTATGTGGCCACACTCATGTTTGCCATGCTGTGCTGTTACGTTACGTTATGTTACTCTGTTTTTAGCACTATAATGTGTGCCCTGGCATGAATGTTGCACCATCAGCCAAGGAGTAGGGTCATTTCCTTTCACTACTTACTGTCCATGGCTGAGATGGTTAGTAGTAGTGATGGCCTAATGGTTAGGGAAGTGCACTTCTAATTGAAAGACTGCTAGTTTGAATCCCAAACCAGCAAAGTACTGCTCCCCGGGCGCTGAATTAGCTGCCCCCTGCTATGCCACATATGGGTTAAACGCAGAGCACAAATTTTGCTGCGGTGTTTCAACAAAGATCACTGATCACCAAATTCTAAGAGACGACAGTTAAGACTTTACTTGACAAACACTCACACACACACTCACCCCATCCCTGCCATCATTTTAAACTTTAAACCAGCCATGGACTTCCTCAGGCCCGGAGAGTTAACACGGACTCACAGGTCCTACTTCTGAGCCCTTGAGGAAGGACTTGATGAAACAGGACTTGGTGAAACAGGGCTTGGTGAAGCAGGATATGGTGAAGCAGGACTTGGTGAAGCAGGGTTTGAAGAAACAGGGCTTGGTGAAGCAGGGCGTGGTGAAGTAGGGCGTGGTGAAGTAGGACTTGGTGAAGCAGGCTCGTGGTGAAGCAGGACTTGGTTAAACCAAACTGACCATCTAGCAGAGGCCTGTGGCCCTGGGGAGTGTAGGGGCATTACTTCTGTGACTGGATATTCACTGAATGAATCATGACATATGAGTAACTCAGGTGTATTGGCAGGGCTTTACCTTTCTGTTCTGAAGGAAACCGGAGAGAAAAAACAACAATTCCTCAGATTATCCATGACATCACCTTTTGCCATCGTTCTCAGCGTGCCTGACGCATCCTTAGCGAATCCATCCATCTTCCTGCCGCTTATTCTGAGCTGGGTCACGGGCTGATTCTGTCAGTACCTGAGTACAGGTGAAGGGGATTAATTTACCCAGCCACTGTGCAATAATATGGAGTAAAATGACAAAAAAATCTTCCTAAAGTTCTGTGGTTTTTCTGCCTTTATCTTACGATCCAGGACTGCCATTTCCCACTGTCGGGATCAACATCACAGATCCCGGGGACATTCGGAGGACAGGCGTGTCCCCAGGGACATTCGGAGGACGGGTGTGTCGGCTCTGGACTGAGATGGACAGAGGTGTGGGCTGTCAGCACCTTTAATGGCAGATCTCATCACACTCACCAGCGTGCAAAGTACATGTTTATGTAGTAAATCATCATGCTGAAAGATGGACAGACCGGTTCACAAAGGCCAGCACCCTGGTCCATACTTGACCTCTTCTCTTTCATATGCCACAAAAAAAATCAATTTCTTTTTGGGTTTTTTGTGATTGCTGTTTCTGGTCAAACTCAGAAAAGTCCCCAGCTCCGCGCTGCTCGAGTCTCCTAAGTCATTCTCCACAAGAATAATGGCTAATTAATTATTTAACATTAATTGCAGCAGCTATGAGCACCAATGAACAGTTACTTTGGGGTTTGATTTCAGCGCCCGGCACGGTTTGTTTGTGTGTCAGCCGTGACCCCGTCACCTGATGTCATTAACGCCCATTTTGTTTGTTTTTTCCACCCTGTCATGGAACACGTATTGTGGGTCGGCACGTGGCTCAGTGGATTAACTCTGCCCGTGACCATAAGGTTGTCAGTTTGAATCCCAGGGTCTGCAGATTGATATCACCGGTAGGCCGCTTACTCCTCCATTAGTCCAGGGGCTGTCTGACCCTGCTTCTCAAAAACATTATTTATTCTGCTAAATAAATGTCATGTACATTGAGGAGGGATTCTGTGGTTGCCGTGGGAAACCGCAAAGCCATACTTGTGCCTCGCCGTCCCCCCACCCCTGTGAGTCAGCGGGCCGCCACGCTTCCGGGCTGGCCTTGGGGTGCCCTGCGGTCAGCGGAACATCTGAACAAATCGCAGTGAGAGGCCTGTCTGGGCCCCGCCCTCACACCCCCCTACATCAGACTTTCCTCCAAATAACTGTTCATAACTACGTCTTTCATACCGCGCTACGCTCATTTTTGGATAATCCTACGTCAACAAATAATAATAATAATGCAGTCGATATCCTCACAATGGTTTCTGTTCTGCTCATATATCCATTCATCTTCTGAATGTTTTCCCTGGTCAAGGTTGGGGGGGGGGGGGTGTTGGGTGTCCATCCAGAACCTTTAAGCGGCCGTCTGCTTTACTCGGTGGGACTCGCAGATGCGTGATGTTTCTGCTGCTTGTAATGAGAGAGCCTGATGGTCCAGACTGGCCCTCAAACACCAGCGAGCTCCCGGAATCGCAGCTGGTGGCCTCCCAGGTAGGTGTCCCCCTGATAATGACATTATTGACGCAGCACCCTGGTGCGTGAAGCACAGACAAGCAAACAAAAAAGTGCAAAACCAGACTTTTACTAATGTAAACAGTGCATGGGAAATAACGAGAAAAATAAAGAAGAAATTCCTGACACAACATGTACACGCTCAGTAAAAATGACAGAAATGGACTCCGAGGAACATTTCTGCACCATTGATGGTGCATTAATGCTGTTTGTACCATTGGAATGTTCCTCAGAGTCCATTTCTGTACCTTAAAAGGTACAATTACCTCCAGCTAAGGGTACAATTGGCCGACCCTTGAGGGTACAGCCCCAGTGACAAGGAAAGGTACGAATTTGTACCCTTTTTTCTGAGAGTGTACAGTGATCTCATTGCCTGTAAGAAGGATTGATGGACCACCCAGCAGTGGGATTCTGGCGGGTGGCTGGACACTCCGGGCGAAAAAGTCTGGGACTCTCGCTATCTTAAGTGTCCCCCATGTGAAGAAATTAAGTGTGTGTGATATTTTTTACAAAGCATGAATCACCATTTTGTTGTTCTTGACGCAAAACTATTTTTCAGTGACATATTTGGCCATTTGTGACCCTGATTCTTCAGTGTTGGCCCCTGCTTTCAACCCTAATGACATTTTAAATTGATTTCTTGGTTTTTCTTAACCTTAAATACGTGTATAAGGTTGCTTGATATTATGCACTAGCCTATAATGATGTGTTATGATTGCTTAATGGATTATTACATCAACAGATAAGCTTAAGCCCTACAGGCAAGGCTATTGATTAAGTAAAGAGTCCAACATCTTTTAAAAAATATTTCATTTATTTAAAATATTTTGTAGAATTAAATCATCTTTTCATCACTTTAACGACCAACAGTAACCTATATAAATTCATCAACCTATCGATTCACCAACGTCATCAACCGATCATCGATTTCTATTTTGTAATAGTGCATTCATCTAGCCTGTTCATCTAGCCTGCAGTTCCTCCTGATTTTCCACTCTCCTTTGCACTCTCTCCCTCAATCTGGCTGCTACTCTATTCTGCAACAGACCTTAAATCATTGAAAAGTCTATCTACTTATAAGTTGGCTGTAGGCTACATCTCTGTGCTTTAGTACTGACAGATGCAAGGTCCCTTGTTTTATCAGGTAATATGGATACCCTGGTGCTAAACTTTATTTAAATAGCCTTTTAACATTGTCCAAATTCACCAGAAACATGCTGTGCCAAATAACCAAACCATGTTTGGTGACTTGGAACACCAAGAAAATGTCCTAATTTAAAAAATGTAAATACAATTTTAAAACAATGTTAATTTTTGTACACTGTTACATCATACATGTTTGTATATTATTTTAATTTACAATATATTAGTCATTCAAATTTTGTACCTTTATATTAAAATCAAGCTGAAGCATATACCATCTATCTTACCTCTTACTTTTTGGGGTCATCTTCCTGTTTGATGCTGACCACAATACCCCACGTGATGTCACAAGAATTATTTAATTTAACTTTCGCCATTGCTTCCACAGCAAGGTCTCGGTGCCAATTACGCTTTCCTGGGCAGATCGTACAATACTGTTTTCTAATGCTATCCCAATATACCTGAATTTACCCTAAGTCTCACATTTCAGCATAAGGATTACTTTGACACTAATATAATAAAGACGTAACGTGTACAACATAGCCACTTAAATTTAAACAAACTTCAGCAGGAGAAGTAGCAAATTAACCAGCGGGACAAACACTTGTTACTCCGAGTCGCTCGCACGCTTTATTCCTTAAAGAACCGAAAATGTTGTAAAACCGCCAATCTTAAATCCCGTTTTATCTCTATTTTTCTGTCTTATGTAAGTCCACGTCTCGATGTGTCATGTTTAAATGTGTATGTTTATATTCCGCCCGTTACTGTTTCCCTGCACAATGACCAGCGAAATACAAGTTGCATGCTGGTGAATGTCCCATAGCTGAATATAAAGATAGGGTACTTTGACTTTTGACTTGATTCTTATTATTCACAATTACATGTTGACCATGTGGAACAGAAATATCACAGTAACACCAAAGTAATGTTTGCGAAATAATAAAAGCGTGATTTGAAAGGCGCCGTGTATTTCGTATTTTACGGCGTTTCCTCCGCTCCGTCTATATGCCCGTTTCAGTCCGCGCAGCCTTCCGAAGGGCGCCTGCTTACCATATCTCCTCCCCTCTCTTGTTTTATCCCCCTCCAGGGAGCCTCCCTAAATTGTCCTAACCCCCTGCCTCCGCAGCCGCCGCTTTTCTTTTTTCTTTCTTTCTCTTTCTTTTTTTATTTCATTCGGCGGACACCAGTCTCTATTTATAGCCCGGGTTGGAGCGGCTCCAGGACCTGCTGCATTTTTTCTTTCTTTCTCTCTCTCTCCCGGTAATCTGTTTATTTATTCCCCCTATCTCCCTGCTTCCGCGGCGCGTCCCACTTTTATTTATTATTATTTTTTTGCGCTGGAAATTTGGGGTTTAAAGGGACTGCGGGACAGCGGGGTTGCAGTCACTCAGTCCGGTGCACGGTGCGCGGACAGACAGACTGACGGACGCACGGAGCGGGCTCTAATCTAACCGGAGGACGGGACCAGGGGCTGCGGGTCCGACGCTGCTGCTGCGCGGGTGCGGAACCGGCCGGCCTTCCGTGTAAGTGGACGGAGCGACGCTGCCTCTGCACGCCGATCTTTAAAAGCATGCTCTGCCGGGATCGTACGCGCTTTTCCGGGAGCCGACGGCCGGAATCCCCAAACGGTGCGGCACGGAGCGGCGGCGGCGACGTCCCTCCCTCCCCGGCATGGCTCGGCTCGGTTTGTCATGGCGGTCTCCAGCCCGGCCGCCAGAACTGCAGCCGCCTCACAATGCGCACATAACCGAGAGGCGTCACAGCCGGATTTTTATTATCACTATTATTATTGTTATTTTTCGGGTGTTTTGTTACGGGTTTAAATCTCCCTGCTTTCTGGACTTCATGCGGGCGAAACGCCGCTCATTGAACGCACGGTCGGCGGCTGTCTCATTCCTCTCTCTCATCCCTCTTTTTCAACTCTCTCCTCTTCCACTCTCTCATTCCCTTCTTTCATCTATGCCTCATCCCCATTTTCCTACTTTCCTCTTTCATCCCCTTTTTACTCCTCTTCTCTTCTGATTTGCCTTCTCTTCCCCCTTCTTTCCATTTTCGTTCTTCTCCTTCTGTCATCCCCCTTAACCTCCTCTTCTTTCTCATCCCCTTTCCCTTGTCTTCCTCTCATCCCACTTTCATCTCTTGCTCTGTCAGGTAATAATGTCATAGTAATAATGCAGAGTAACAATAAAGTCATAGTAATAATGCAGAATAGTAATAATGTCATAGTAATAATAATGAATAGTAATAATGCAAAGTAATAATAATGTCATAGTAATAATGCAGAGTAGTAATAATAATGCCATAGTAATGATGCGAAATTGTAGTAATGCAAAGTAATATCTGCTTGATAATGCAGAGTAAAAATAATGCCATAGTAATAATGCAGAGTAATACCAATGTCACAGTAACACAAATCTATAATAATGTTGTAGTAGTAATGTAGAGTAGAGTAATAATAAGGGCATAGTAATAATGCAGAGTAATAAGAACGGGTGTCTTGTGTGCGTGTGTGTGTGTGTGTGTTCTCCTCTCAGGATAAACAGGCAGGATGAGTGACTCGGCCAAAGGAAACCAGTCTGTCTCCCCGAAGGGCAAAGACGGGGCGGAGAAGAGGGGGCGTGGCCGACCGAGGAAGCAGCCACCAGTGAAGAGCCGTGAGGTGACTGTCTGTACACAGCACGTGGCTTTGGACCCGGGTTCGGTTTGGTTTAGACCAGAGGGCTGTACTGCTGCATCTCTGCAGTAATCAGTGCATGGAAAGGCGTGTCTAACATGCATCTTCTGGTGAAACCTTCTCACTGTCCTCATGGGTGGTCCTCCATCCCCCCCCCCCCCCCGCTCTGACAAAAGGGCATTTCAGGGGGGCTGACAGGCTCTGCTGGTAAATGCAAAGTGGGGCAATTAACTAATCTGAATGGGGGGGTTCAGCTCCCAGCAGGTGTGCAGGCAGGAGGGGGTTGGGCCGATTTCACAAACGGTCTGTTTAGACAGAGCTAACTGCCTCTGAAAGTGAAAGTCAGCCCCAAGCTTTAAAATCATATTTTTATCCCCATAAATGTATAAACTGTAGAGTCACCCCTGAGTGTTTTTATCTTTATTGTATTATTCCGTAGCTATGGACTTATTTCTGTGATTATCTGCATCACAGTGGTTGCTGGCCAGTGACCCCTGCTTTCCCAGGGTGCCCCCCCCCAGCTTCGTGTTTCTCCCTTTAAATGGTGTTAAACGTTTCCTTCCTGGCCGCCTTTTGTCCACCCGAGCATGAGCATCCGGTGGTCTAGCAGGTTCTCCATCCAATGTAACACAAGAGCTTTAAACCGGTGGTAACCCCTTTATTCTTCTTCCCGGCGGACGATTGGTGGGTGATAACCGGAACGTGAGCTGCGATTGGTTGGTCTGCTTGTCAGTCAATGAGGTCACCACCGGTGTCAGGTTACAGGGTTGCTAACGGCTGCATCTGTAAACAGACCGACTCGTAAAGCAGCCGGACAGTCAGATGGCTCCGGACTCCATTGTGTTTTTCCGAGCAGCATTGTAGTAAAAAGTCATTGAGAAATTGAGTAGAAACGTGATCATTAATGGAGGAGAGTGTGGGAACTGAAATGGGGGATTCCCCTTCTGCCCCTCTCCATGCTGTTTACACATTAAAGCTTTTCTGGGGATAAGCGTGGCTGATTTCCAGTCTTCCTCAGCGTGGCCAGCAGACTTGCCCCTCTCCAGCCCCACTGGTTCACCCACTTTCCAATTCTGTCACCGCCATCTGCCTGTTGTCTTATGGTGTCCATGCAAAACGTGCTGGGTAATACCGTAACTAGTTTTGCACGCGGTTCTGACTTCTCGGGGTGGTGGCTTTGGCCAGCGTGGGTTGCTGTGGAGGTGGCCATGACATGCTGGGAGTCCCGTCTGGGCTCCGGCGGCTGTAGGCTTGGGGGGCTCAGTACCGACACCTCTGTCTCCCACTAACGGACGTTTTTCGCCAGGACACTGAACTCGACTTTATGCCTTTATTCCAGTGCTCTTCCCAGCCTGCTCTTCCCATGGCTCTCGTTTATTTAATGAGCAATGTTACTTTCTGCGTAAGTCATCCAACTGACTGGACCGCTCCTGTGTTCCGTCCATGCGTCACTGCCTCTTCGGGATATTCTCCTGCTTGTGTTTATTTACGGGCAGGTTTCATCATTCGGAGAAGGTTCTGGCGCGAGAGTTCGCTGTATTTGTGGGACAGTGTAAGTGCAGCTCTGAACCTCGAGGTCCTGCTAAAGGTCTTCTGCCCCCAACGGGCCCATTGTTCAGGTTTCCCTTCACGTGGACCTTCACTGTAATCTTAACCTTTGAGCTGGGAGAGTGCTGTGCAATTGCTGTCTGTTTGATGTCCATTGCTCCCTCGTTTGAAGACCGACTCCCGTCAGGCTGCAGATTTTCTCTCCGGGTGACACTCTGAAACACATGCAGGACACATAAGATGTGACCTCCTGCAGTTGTCCCAGTTAATGTGACGTGGCACCCCAGCATTGCAGACCACCTGTTTGTCTTACAGCAGCAGTGGGTGTCACTTGTCCTGACCTTGGGACAGGGACCTCTTTGTCCTGGACCACATCTTGAGCTCAAAAGCAGTTGCTTGCTGTCAGATACTGAAAACTTCCTGCCAGCACTGGGGTTTCATTTTCGGGGCGAGGTGGGGTACCGATTGTGTTCCTGTACATTTTGCAGTGACAAGTTAGATCTCGCTCCCACGGTGCATTTTGGATTTGGAGGGGCTTATACTCTGAGGCCAGTTTGGTGGGTGTCACCATACAGGAATCCTGTATGTATTACCCTGGGTCATTCTGAGCCAATAATCAGTGACTAAAACTGCCCCCCCACACACCCTCAAGTGGGAGCTTTTTCAGCCTGTACATCCCCCATGCAGTGTGTAGGACATCTCCCTCTCCCTGTAACCTCAGCTGTCAGGTCATAGGTAGGGGGGTGCTTTGGTGCTTTGGGAGTTGAGTTGATCCTGCCCCCAGTGACCTTGAGTGAACTGCCGGCAGCTCAGTGAGCCCCCCCACTCGGTGAAATGTGAGAACTTCAGTGTGGGAGTGTCTGTTGGGGGGGGGGGGGGGGCCCCGCCCCCCCCCCCCGTTTAACTTCCTAAACCCTTTTTTTCCCCCCCCCCCCCCCTTCCTTGTTCCCAGGAGCCCAGTGGGTCGCCCACACCGAAGAGGCCTCGGGGCCGACCTAAGGGCAGCAAGAACAAGAGCACCGGGAAGAGCAAAGTAAGCAGAGGCGCGGCCCTGTGCGAGATGGGCTGGGGGGGCAGGCTGGTGTTGGTGTTGGTGGTGGTGGGGGGGGGGTTACACCGCAGCCAGCAGCTGTCAGTCCCCCCCCCCCCCATTGGGCGTCTCCTGAGCCTGGAAGCAGGTGGCAGGTGTTCAGGAGGAGCAGCTGCAGGGGCCCAACTCGCTGCCCTTCACCAAGGAACCCTGCTGGGGGGGGGGGGGGCACACACGCCTGTGCACATTTGTCACCGTGTGTGTGTGTGTGTGTACTCGCACGCATCCCCGCCTGTGTGCATCTGTCTGTGTGTGTGAAACTCGAGAGCCACCCTCCCCACCCCACCCCACCCCGCTCGCTCCTCACGTTTCATTGGCCTGTGTTGGTCAGGTGACCTAAGGGATCCTCCAGTTTCACTTTTTATTTCCCACTGATGCGAATGGGGGAGGGGGGATTAGACAGCATGTACTAAGCACAGGTGCCCTGCCTACATGCTTGTTTAACAACCCCACTCCCCCCCGGTGGCCGTTGTCATGGCAATGTGCAGCCCCCGCACTGCAGTGTAGGGCTGGCACTGCGCGCTCTCACATGCCCCCACCAGGTGGCCCACGCACGATTTCTGTTGACTCCCCAGATAATAGCCTCTGAACCCGATGCCCTCATGCCATCTGTCTCATGGTTGAGTATAGGCTCCCCCTAGTGACTGCACTGTGTGTGTGGAGAGGCTGGGGGTGCCTGGCTCTGACGGTGCTCTTTCCTGTGTTTTTCTGTTTTTTAACAGAAAACACCAGAATCTGCAGGGGCGAAACCCAGAGGGAGACCTAAGAAGGCAGTAAGTGTCGCATTTCCCTGTATGCCCAGTGCTGAGGGTTGGCGTGTGCCGGCTGTGGGACTTGTGAGGAACTTCATCTCTTTGTCACCTGTGAGCTGGGAGCAGAAGGAGGGTGGAGTTCACCCCCCCCCGAGCTGAAGCGGGTTTCCCTCCCGGTCCCTAGCGGTACCCCCATGAGGTCGCTGTCAATGTTCCATGCGTGTAGTTGCTGTTGAAATTGGCAGCTGACCCGAAGGTGACACCTGTCGCTTGATGCTTTGACTCCCCCCAGGGAATGACTATGATGATTTCGGTTTAGATGTCCTTCTGGAAATGCTTTTCTGGTCCGTTTGGCCGAGCTGCCTTCAACGCCCAGCCCTCGCCCCAAATCCGGGATGCTGTTTCCTTTTCCGGAGAATTCCTTCTCCATGACATGTGGCTTCCATTTCCCGGCTAAGTCCTGCCACTCGGCATGGCGGCCGGGCCCAACCCCTCCCCAGGGCACACCCATCATGCTGCTCCCCCCCCCCCCCAGAATGGTGACAGAGTACCTCTGCTCTACACCTCATGGGTTCCTGCCCGCTTTGACCCACTCCAATTGGGCTCCCTGGTCCACCCTGCCCATCCTCGCACAGCCCCCCCCCCCCTCCAGTGTGACCTATGTGAGCCCCGTTCTCATCTTCAGTCTGGCTTGCTTGCAGGAGAAGGAGAAGGAACAGGGTTCGCAGGAGTCATCTGAGGAAGAGGAGGAAGAGGAGGAGGAGGGGGAGCAGTAACCCACCTGGACGCCGCACTACCTCATCACTCAACTTACTGACTTCCTGTCGACCAGAGCTGGACCGCGCCAATAACCGCCCCCCCCCCCCTCCCCCGTTTATCTGCAGCAGCACTGGAAACAAAAACTGACCTGAGAGATGATCTATATGTATATCTATATATCACACAACAAACTGGTGACTTCCCATTAGATCTCCTAGTGGGTTTGGGTATTGCAGACGCGCTTTTATACTGGACAAAGGTGAATTTGCCTACATGATTTTTGTTTTTATATCTTTGTGAGGTGTGAAATGTTATTTCAAGACTCCAGACTGAGTGTAGACGATCACCAGGCACGTAGCCATGTAGTAAAATAACCCCCCCCAAAAAAAAAAATTTTGTTACCAATTAGGCATGTAGTCAAATAATTTGAACCCTCCTCAAAAGTTGCTTCAGTCCTATGATTGGTAAAATCTACCAAGTGGGACCTATCAGTAAGGTTGTTGCCAAAGTTATAAGGCTATGGGTGACACCCCTCCTCCTACACTGTAGCGTCAGTGACTGTGGACCCCATCGGTTAATAATTAATAATGTTCATATACGATATGTCTTATGCTGCATTTTCTCCATCTCCTCCCCCAGACTGGTGGCTCCATCGCTGGGTGTCGATAGTTGTTTTGTTTTCCTAGGGATGTGGATGTGGGATCCTGACCCTGCACCCTCTGATTCCCAGCATGAGGTTTTGGGTACTGGCATAGTCTGCCTCGCCTGCAGCTTTGCCCTGAATGTCCAGGGATTAGAGCAGCCAGACCCACGTAGTGCTCACTAATGTACACCGCTGGCTTTTTTTTTTTGGGGGGGGAGCTTTTCTTACTTATCCTATAGCTGTGGGGCCTGACGTACAGGACTCGGTGACACTCGTAACTCATAAACCAAAGGGTCCACAGTTCGGAGGAGCTGGGTTCAGGAAATGGGGGGGGGGGGGTTTGTGGATCCTGTGATCTCGGTTTCAGCTGTGACCCCATTCAACTGCTAGGTCTCCTATCCCCCCCAATCCCATTCTCACCATGTAGTGCGTGGAAGTGTCACTTGGCCACATCAGACCGAACAACTGCAATGTGTGTGCAGTGTATTAAGCCGCTTGATAAGGGTGCTGTTGTTCTTTATTTCCTAGCTGTCAGGGAACTCTCGATCACAGCCCGCTTGACGGGCCTTTCCTCAATCATGCTGCTACTACTCAGTTACTTCCCGGTATACTGCAAACAGGTGGAGCCCTGTTCTCCATACCTCACTTGACGACAGCTTGCTCTACCTTCCCGTCCCGTGTGGTCCTGGTTCCCTGACGTTCCTGGGGAGCTCCTGAAACCCTGGGCTTTCCTTTGTCTTTGGGGTTTTAAGACACTGGCTGTCACCTTTGTGATTTTGGGGATTTTTTTTTTTCCTTCTGTGAAACCACGTACATCAGGGAGATATTAACCTGTCAGCTTCTGCAGATGTGTTTGCTGGTTGTAGTAGTTCTGTGTGTTTTATTTCGCACTGAAACGTGTTGTAGTGAAGTCCAGTTAGAGCCCCGTGGTCAGTCTTCAGACATGCGTGTAGGAGAACCGCACTTGTTTCCCGTAGAAGGCCATGGTGCTGTAGTTAAGCTCTGTACTTCATCGGGATCCAGGGCTCCCATTATGAAGTCCCACCCTGCTATCAAGGCACTCCCAAACACTCATGCTAGTCTGAAGGTCAGCACCGGATAAGGGGAGCAACGCCTGGGCCATGCCCAGTAAGTCGAGACAGTGACGGGCCGGGGACAATACCAGCTAGCTTCTATAAAGGGCTTCATCCTCTCTGGCGGCCTTGTCCTCGTCCATCCTTTGGGTGTTCAGCGCCTCTAGCCGTAGTGACATTCCTTGTATCTTTGTTTTAAAACAATATTTGTTTGATCGCTGAAATAAGCGTAACCTCTCCTGCTCTCGTGATTCCTATGGGACTTGCTGCTGTAGCTAATTAGCCAGATGGAGGAACCTCTGTTTTCTCAGATGAATGCTTTGGCTGCTCAATGCAAACAGTTCAAAACCTTCTGCTATATTGTACCCAATCCCCTCACCCCAATGTTTTCCTATTCTACATATTGGCTGTTCTTGTACCATTAAAACATACATACCCACCCCCATCGTGCCTCATTCAGCCCCCAGCTACAGTCTCCCTCCAGCCCCAAGGACCGTCACATTTAATGGCCGATTGCAGTGGCAGCCAGCCCAGGCCACTGATGCAGAGTCAAGTGTCTCTGACCTGCCGATGGCAGTCGTGACTCAGATCAGATCCCATCTAAGGTCACGTCCAAGTGCCCCCAACAGCATGCAGAATATGTGCTTCATTTCCGACTGAGCAAATGTATTTCGACTCAGGAATAAGAGGACAGCTTGCATGGCCTGTCCCTCAGATTCAAGAAAGGTTCCTGTCCGCTGTTTTCATTTTGGCGGCTAATAATAACAACCTTTGGTCTGAACAATGTTCCTGGACCACTTCATAGTATGGTGAATGTGGGAAGTAGGCAGGATGTTCCTCAGAAACACCCTATGGAGTGCTGTAAGACAGACTATTCAGATATCTGCAGTCCTGTATGCACATTACAGTGAGGTTAGGCAAACCTCTTGGTGTTTGGGGTGGGATCTGCGTATCAGAGCAACTGATTTGGATTCTCCAGACTTCACATGCGGCATCCTCATTGACATCACCGCTGATGCGGGATGAATGCAGGATATGTGCCCTCATTTGTGTTGTACCTACCTCTGGATCATATGACTCATGGATGCTGCTGTTCTGAGATATTTCATCAGCGAACCGTAGCTGATGCTCACCTTGCTTTCCTCTATCTGCTTTATGTTTTAATTTTTTCTCCTCGCTGCCAAATGCAGAATTGTACAGACCCACCAGAACACTGTGCTACTAGTCCTGTTCGCAGATGTGACTTCCTGAACTGTTGGACACCGTGTCTACCTGTGATCACTCTTGTCTGTCTTGTTGCTTGATATTTTGAGTAGGGGTATCACTGTGGTCAGATAGGAACACGCCCCCATATACACACAACTCTTTTAATAAATTCAATATTACAGGACAATTCGAATGAGCCTTTCCATGTCTTCGTCCTTTCTTTGACCTCCTATGAGTTTTCCCCCACAGCTGTCCAAGCTGTGATGAGGTCTCTCAGTGCTGCTCTTTGGTCTAAGATTCAAGCTCACTACCTCTACCTACACCTACATGCTACTCTGACTGTTGGGACTCTTTGTTCCATAGCAACTCATCTCTGATTCCTACTGCTCCATCCCAACATAGGGTCCTTCGCTCCTCTGGTGGCACTCTACAGGGTTCAAGGATGCTATAACCTTCATTCATTCCCCCTCAGTTCTTGACTGGTACACCCACCATGCATGAAACTTGAGCTAGCGAGGATGATGTCAGGGGGCCAGGAGACTGTGGGTTGGTCAGGTTATACGCATGAGGATGTAAAACACAAAACATGACTATTAGCAACAAGGCTAATAAAAAAGGGAAGGTGTAACACCACCCACTTATTGTCATGGATAAAGCTGCCAATGAAACCGATGGAAACAAGTGTTATTCAGGGGCTGATATTCTGTAACCCATCTCCAAGACACCACACCATCTGCATCCTGTGATCCATTCATGTCCCTCATTGCCATGCCATGTGACAGTCACAAATAAAAATGCCAAGGAATCCAGGAGTTTCCACTTATCAGGTGCCCCCCCCCCCCCCAAAAAAAAATAAATAAAAATGAGTCATTACAGCCTCAGTAAAACCGATTAGCATGAATATGGTCTTGGAGAGTCTATAGCCTGTAAAAGAGACGCGTGGCCCGTGACAGCCAAAGCCCCAGGTGGGGAGGTGGGGGTTCGTTGGGGCAGAAAGCGTTGGGAGAGACTCCAGACTTTCACTATTATACATTGCAAAGTGTAATGTACTTTTAATATCAATAATCTTGGGTTCTCAGTCACCATTCTTGAATAAATTGGCTTATTGATAGATATATATATGGTGTATGTGTCTCTCTCTTTGTCACTATTCACTGCAAACTCAGTCAGCAGGTGGTGCCATGAAGGTTGTGTGTCATTCAGTGTGTCAACCAAGCAAATGAAAATCAGCAAGAGCATTAAAGCGGCCAACAGCACTGACATGCATCTGTGGTGATCAATGCACAGCATTTGTGTCCAGTTGGGAAAGTCATTGCATTATACTGATAGACTAAAATATTATAACCATTTATCAGAGAAAACTGCCTGGACCAATTTCTTCATACATTATGCCCATATTGTAGAAATCATCTGCTCAGTATTAGATGGTTGCAGCATGAGAAACTTAACTAGTTTCCTTCATCAGAATCTAGATGTTGAAGACACATATCTGCTTATTATCCCAGTCTTCAGGAATTGCCAGACAGTCCACATTTCTGTTCCTTCCTACCTATAACACAGGGGTCTCCAACTCTGGTCCTGGAGAGCTACTGTCCAGTAGGTTTTCTATCATACCCAGCTTCTGATGAGCCACACCTGTTCGCAGGTAAATACCAGGAACAGGTGTGACTCATCAGAAGCCAAGTGGGGCAGAAAACCTACTGGATAGTAGCTCTTCAGGACTGGAGTTGGAGACCCCTGCTATAACAGATATACAGTTCTTGATTTTTTAGGTTTGTTTTTCATTGTGAGGTTCAAGTGTGTTGGGAGCAAAGTTTTTTTTTTTTTTCTTTTTAACCTTTTTTAGGTTTTATGGTAATTTATTTACAAATCTATGGACAGGGTGAATTTAATATGAACTGTCCACAAATTTACAAATGGTTGGCAACCCTGGCTGGGAGGTAGGTAAAATGTGGACTGTCTGGTGGTCCCCAACAACTGGATTGAGAAACACTGACTTAAGCAAATTAAAAATATAGTAGATTTAAAAAGGTTCATTCCTGTGATTTTATATATAGCGGTAGAGTGTGTGGAACATCCGTGCCCTTAAATTGACTGAACCATCTGAACTGCATGAAGAACTAAGGTGTGCTAGATGTGGGAATGTACAAAGAAAATTCACCCACCCATCTGTCCATTCTTCCACGTTCAAAAAGCTTCTGCTGGTGAGTCACCCACTACAAAGGAATATAACAAAATTTTTGTGCCTTTCTAGAATTTCCTCTGATATGTTTAGAGGCATCTGTTGACCAAAATACTCTTATTTGCTTACAACAGTTATATTAACAGCCTCCAATCATGCCATGCCTCATCTGTGACTCATCTGCAATCCTGTCAAATTAACCTTTCCTATGAGAACTATCTGGTGTTATGTTGCTGGTATTTTACGAGTATTACCTGGTGAATGCAGTACATGGGGTGGGGGTTCGAAGAGTCACATGTTTGGCATCAGTAATTAAACTCTGGTTTTATATGACCCATAAATATGCAGCGGTCTCGCGCCTGAGCAATTCTGTCTTGTTGAACCCTGATGATTCACTTCCTTGGTATTTAACTCCTTTGCTCTGCACAGTGGGAGTCAGAGTTGAGTTTCATTCTCTGCTCATTGTTTTCAGGATTACTCAGCATGATGGGTTACTCTACTAAAGCAGTTGAACTATAAATTGAAAGTAAAAGGAAATTCTATGCTTCAGAGCAAAAGTTTTTCTACAATTTGAAATAAAATTGACAGATTTCTTGTAGAAAAAGCTATATACACTCACCTAAAGGATTATTAGGAACACCATACTAATACGGTGTTTGACCCCCTTTCGCCTTCAGAACTGCCTTAATTCTACGTGGCATTGATTCAACAAGGTGCTGAAAGCATTCTTTAGAAATGTTGGCCCATATTGATAGGATAGCATCTTGCAGTTGATGGAGATTTGTGGGATGCACATCCAGGGTACGAAGCTCCCGTTCCACCACATCCCAAAGATGCTCTATTGGGTTGAGATCTGGTGACTGTGGGGGCCATTGAAGTACAGTGAACTCATTGTCATGTTCAAGAAACCAATTTGAAATGATTCGAGCTTTGTGACATGGTGCATTATCCTGCTGGAAGTAGCCATCAGAGGATGGGTACATGGTGGTCATAAAGGGATGGACATGGTCAGAAACAATGCTCAGGTAGGCCGTGGCATTTAAACGATGCCCAATTGGCACTAAGGGGCCTAAAGTGTGCCAAGAAAACATCCCCCACACCATTACACCACCACCACCAGCCTGCACAGTGGTAACAAGGCATGATGGATCCATGTTCTCATTTTGTTTACGGCAAATTCTGACTCTACAATTTGAATGTCTCAACAGAAATCGAGACTCATCAGACCAGGCAACATTTTTCCAGTCTTCAACTGTCCAATTTTGGTGAGCTCGTGCAAATTGTAGCCTCTTTTTCCTATTTGTAGTGGAGATGAGTGGTACCCGGTGGGGTCTTCTGCTGTTGTAGCCCATCCGCCTCAAGGTTGTGCGTGTTGTGGCTTCACAAATGCTTTGCTGCATACCTCGGTTGTAACGAGGCTGCGGGATAGGCTCCATACCCCAACAACCCTGAATAGGACAAGCGGTTTCAGAGAATGGATGGATGAATGGATATATATATGTGCATGTATATATTAAGACATTTCATTTCAATTTGTCACTTCTCTGTACACACAACTCATTTCCTTTATGAAGACATATTTTGTCAGCACAAGCACCATGTATTGGGATGCACTCCCTAGGGTGTGAAAAGTCCAACTTAATTTTGCGATTCATGTTACTTTTTGTCCGTGTTTGTACTGCGGCTGCTGCCGGCATCTTTACTCACAAATATTTAAATCATGACTCTGCGAGGTCGCTGGTGGAAACCAAAAGGCAGCCATAGCACGTGAACCTGATCAGGCCTGGCACTGTGCCACACACCCCTTGTTCTGCTGGTCCCGCTGGTCCAAATGTAAGCGGAATGCATTTCACATACAATTGTGGCAGCGTGGGCGGGAGCATGGGGGGGCGGGGGGGGGGGCACGTGCTGCCTGGTATGAATCAGCAGGCTCAGTTTTTGAAGATGACCATCCAGGAGACATTTCCTGACTGGTCGGTACAGTCAAACCACTGGCATTTCCCCTTACCCCTGCCCAACCCCCCGCGGGTACCCGCATCCTCCAAACAGCAGGGGGGGGGGGCAGGACATATTTGGGCCAAAAGTCATGCCTCCCCTAGACACTGCAACCCAAATGCCACTGGCTCATTCACTTCCTGCCTTGGCATCCATGTACAGAAATAGGCCACACCCCTTTGTCAGGGCCCAGGCTTATGGACATGCCCACCTCCACGCCCTTGCCATTAACCCCATCGGGAGCTTCATACTGTCAGTCTGTTCGATGGAGTTGCCCCTCCCGCCGAGGGGATTGACCGTGGCTCCAACACTCAGCCACCCGTTGCCATGGTGACCCCACGAGATGCGATAGGGCTGGACTGGCAGACACCATCAGCAGGAATCCCACAGCAACATCATCGATGGAAAGAGAGACACCCAAATGCACAGCGTGATGACAGACGACCACTTGCTTCTCTGCAGGTGACATTAACATGTTTAAATATTCAGAACAGAGGCACCAGTTTGCAAACTGGAGGCGGGTGGTGGAAGCCCCACTCTTCCATGGCTCAAACGAGATCTCAGAGTCCAGGGAGAAGAGGCCAAGGACCCCAGTAATGTGGCTGGCTTGGAGGCAGCTCACAGAGCCTGGAAAGCATGTGGCCCATATCCATCTCCATATTCTTCATGCCTGAGTATCCTTCATCAGCAGGGGGCGACGTTGCTGGTACGTCCTGGCCCAGCCTTGCACCACCTGGACAGGGACGAAGAAAGCTGATCTATAAAGGTTCCATAAAATCACATCCATTTTTAAGGGGAAATGAATTGGCATTGTGCCTTTGATCGGGAGGTTGTAGGTTAAACTCCCAGGGTCACCAGAGTGATTTCATTATTAGGCCCTCGATCAAGTCCTTAACCCCCAATCACTCCACGCACTAGCTTTCTCAAAAAAATAAAAATAAAAAAGTGTCACTTCGGATGAATGCATCCACTAAATAAATAAAAACTGGATTGAATTCCTTTACTGTCATTGTACACAG